GCATGTCCTGCTTGGACCAGACCCCGAAGATTTGGGGCGGGTTCCTCCATCCTAAGAGTTGTCTCCGGAAAAGTCTGATGTTAAATCAGACTTCTGCTCAAAATGTCTAGAGTGGACTGTCTGCAAAGCAAGGTTCCCGAGCTTTGGCGGAGAGATCGTGGGGCACTTTGCAGAAGGCGCAGAGGCTTTCAGATCGCCCTGAAGTCTACCTCCTAGTGTGAGTGGTTAACCTTTCTGAGCCTCAGTTTACTTCTGAATGGAGCCCGTGATGCCTACCTGACTGCGTGCTGATGAGTCCATGAGCGATGTATGTTTTATGGGTTAAACGTGGGAACGCAAAGGTTAAGTGCAGTGCTCCAAGCTGACTCACCCACTCTCCGTTTTCTTCACGAGTTTGGGAGCCAGTGCAGTAAGTTAAAGTTGATTAGATGTGCATTTTCACAGCTCCAGGAGTCCAGAGGATGCAAGCAGATGATGTAGGGGACTCTGGGGAGCTGGTCTCCTTTTCCTGTTTCAGGAAGGTTAGTGAAGGTTCGCTACCACTGGGTTCGTGACCAAGGGCTAGTTCTCCCTCTCAGCAGCGCATGCAGCAGGATGGGTCCCTCACACCTCTCCTCCTTTACCTGGCCCTTTGTGGTAGGACACCTACCCCATCACCCTTACCCTTTCAGTGCTCTTCTGAAATAAGAGGAAGTCCTCTTTCTTGTCATGGGATAAGGACAGCTTGCTCCGGTTTTCTGTAGAAGTCTCTGGTCTTTTTCTGACTAGTACCTAATGGAACCTTTTTTTCTAGCTGAAAAATACTTTTTTAGACTCCCTTATACCTAAGGGCAGCCATTTAACACAATTTGGCCAATAAGATGAAAGTTGAAGCTGCTGCTGGGGCTTCTGGGGAGGATGGACATGTGCAGATCAGGCTCATCCTTGCCCTACACCTGTCTCTCTTCCTGGAGGAGTGGAGGTGCAGCAGCCATAGTTTAGTCACAAAGCAACAAACACAGCAGAACAATTAAAAGACCCTGGATCCTTTATGGCACCATCGTACCACCATATAAGCCCCAAACTGTCACCTCTATGGCTTCTTTTTTTTGTCTAATTCCTATTTAAGTCAGGAAGTCTCCACAACCATCCAAACCTGCAGATCTTGTCACTTATGCTTGTGACTCAGACTTCAGGAATCCTTTAGAGCAGCGGTTCTCAACTTGTGGGTCGTGACCCTTTGGGGGTCGAACAACCCTTTCACAGGGGTCACCTAAGACCATCGGAAAACACATATATAATTACATATTGTTTTTGTGATTAATCACTATGCTTTAATTATGTTCGATTTGTAGCAATGAAAATACATCCTGCATATCAGATATTTACATCACGATTCATAAAAGTAGCAAAATTACAGTTATGAAGTAGCAACGAAAATAATTTTATGGCTGGGGGTCACCACAACATGAGGAACTGTATTAAAGGGTCGCGGCATTAGGAAGGTTGAGAACCACTGCTTTAGAGTAATGGGGTCCTCTCACTTGGCACTGTGAAATGTACATTATTAATGAGAATATACATTAATAAAAATATTAAAAGAGAATGTACACCTCACTATGATAAGCACTATTCTTTTTTGCCTGTTAATTCTCACCAGAGGGTATTTTCCCATTGTTTTTAGATAGAGAGAAACATCGATGTGAAGAGACACATCAATTGATTGCCTCCTGCACACAGGTACGTGTATTTGACTGGGAATTGAACCCAAGACCCTTCGGTGCACGGGCCAATGCTCTAGCCAGTGCTGATGAGCACTATTTAAAGCAGAGCCCATCAAAGGTTCACTAGCATGGACAAAAATATTTTAAAGTGTAATGAACATTCAAGAGATTGAAATACATGGATATAAAAATGATATATATAGGGTCTGAAAAGTGATGTTTTTTTTACTTTATAGCCACCTGAATTAAATACCTAAAAATGCTTTTGATGCTGTTGAACTTGGTCACAATAAAAACTGTACGTAAATATCCCATTTTTGTTAAATTATGTATATATGTAGAACCATGTATGAAAGTGGTCCCCCGAATACGGATAGTGTTTAACTTGGAACCTCCAGTAGGAAAAGTAGATAGCATTGAGGGGATGCAATTCAGCAGTCACTCAGAGGCTGCTGTGGGCCTTGGGCTGCCTAGTTCAGTCATTGTGTGTGTCACAGATAAGAAAAGGAAGTGCAGCCGGACCGGCGTGGCTCAGTGGTTGAGCATCGACCCATGAAACAAGAAGTCACCATTCGTTTCCCTGTCAGGGCACATGCCCGGGTTGAGGGCTCTATCCCCAGTATGGGGCATGCAGGAGGCAGCCAATCAATGATTCTCTCTCATCATTGATGTTTTTATCTCCCTCTCCCTTCCTCTCTGAAATCAATAAAAAATCTATAAAAAAAGAAAAAGAAAAGGAAACATGAAAGAAGGATTGCATAGCTCAGCTTCCATTTGTTACTTAAGGACAGCCTGTAGTGAGAGTGCTTAAGAGTAGGATGCTAATAGATAACAAAGAATTCGTGATCGTTAAGACTAAATCTACTTTTAAGACAATTAACAAATTCAGTACACGTCATCTTAGTGGCTAGTTCAGCCGTGGGCAAACTACGGCCCGCGGGCCGGATCCGGCCCATTTGAAATGAATAAAACTAAAAAAAAAAAGACCGTACCCTTTTATGTAATGATGTTTACTTTGAATTTATATTAGTTCACACAAACACTCCATCCATGCTTTTGTTCCGGCCCTCCGGTCCAGTTTAAGAACCCACTGTGGCCCTCGAGTCAAAAAGTTTGCCCACCCCTGGGCTAGTTCAAGAATTTGGGTTGATCTGCCATTACAGTAGCTTTCTTTGTTAACAAATAAAAACAAAGATTTAAAAAATCATTTGTAAATAATAAAAACTGACTCCAGTATTTGTGAGGTGTTTATTTACTTCTAATTATTGTAATTTTTGGGGTGGGAAGGGCAGCTAGAAAATCCTATACTGACTCAGTCTGCTATATTCCAATTTCTTTTACTATTTTAAAGAAAATAAAGGCCTTGTTACTGGAGTTTGTTTGTTTGTTTTTTGCTGAAATGTGGAATACCTTTCAGGAGGTAAAATACTTTATTGATATTGAATAATCTAGTTTGTGATATTTTGGCTTTTGTTTTTGGTGTGATTTTTTTTATAAACTCTTGGGAGGAAAGACTTTAGTCAAGTGATGATCTTGCAGTTGCAAATTTCAAAGATGATGTTGGCCATCTGGCTTCTGATTCCTTCTATTTCTACACACAACAAACTTGTCTTTCCCTTAAAAAAAAAGATGCTGTGCCACAAAGCATCTAATCAAATATTAATCAAGTTTATTATTTGAAAAACAAATGAAATCCTACAGCTACAGCCTAGGAGAATTAGCTCATTTCAACATTGCACTCTCCAAATCTTAATGGGTCCCAGATGTTTGATTATGAACCATACCATTGAAAATGGAAGAAAGAAATCCACATATGCATTAAAAGGCACCTGAGTGATTTGATGAAACCTCAGAACAACCCTCAAAGGTAGTAAGGACAGTGAAGCTTGGAACTGCTAAATGTCCTGCCCACAGTCACACAGCTAGTAGCTTTCCAATAGAGTTCTGATTCCTCTGTAACGCACACACTTCCCACTACCCTGAACTTCTTATTTAGAGATGCTCATGCGTAAGAAGACACGTTTAGGAGGGAGAGGCTTTCAGGCACAACAACTTCAGGTCCCCTAGATCAGTTTCCCAAGTACTGCCGGGATCGCTCTGACCACATCTCTGAAGGGCCATCGGCCCATTTCGGATAAAACCCATCCAAGGAGAGGAGATGCCCTAGTTTTCACTACAGCATGGCCCATTGCTCAACAGCTATGGTTCTAAGTGAAGTAGAAACTGCATTCCTATGATTTCTCATTAAGCTACTTTTCTCCTCTTGACCAACCCAAAATATAACTTATTCCACATGCCAGCCCTGTTAAATGCCTCTCTCTCTCTCTCTCTCTCTCTCATCTTCTTCTCCAAATTAAAGAGCTCCAGATCCTTCACCCATCCTCCAGCATAGTTTCCGGCCCCTTCAGAATACTCACTCACCTGGGCACACACTATTTCGTATACCTTCATCAATTATGGCAGCTGTAATGAGCATTTAGACACACTGTGATTTTAGAACAATCTTTATAAGGACACATCTGTTATTTCTATAAATTTCTGCATCAGTAGAAATCTTCATAAGCTGGTTTAGCAGTTGGATTTCCTGCTTTTCAGAAACTACATGTCCAGTCAATACTTAGGCAGGGGTGGGGAATGTCTGGCCCTCGGGCCGCATAAGGCCTGTAAAATCATTTGGTCTGGCCCTGCCAAGGCATTAGGGGTGAGCTAATTAAACGTTTGACCAAATTTGGCAGGCTAATTTTTAAGTTGATAAATTTGTATGGCCCGCAAATTATGTTATCAATATCCAAATGGCCCTTGGCAAAAAAAGCGTTCCCCACCCTGACTTAGAGTGACCATTTGGCTAACACAGAAGTCTGTTATTTCTCTGATGATTCTACCGAGTGACTTATTTATGATAATGCTTGAAAAAAACATAGCTAAATAGCTATACTGACTTCTCCTTCAGGTGACCAGAGAGACGGGGGGGGGGGGGGGGGACTGAG